TTTACAACATCAGGATCTTTTCGGTTTTCTATAGTAGAATCTCATCGAGTTTTAGTAGTGGGATCCGATCGGATTCTCAATACCAGGAATCTAGGCGTTATTCCATCATCCGGTTTTCGACAAGATTTCTACTCAATCCAACCGAATATGACTGTTCGATTAATTCTTCTGACCAAAAAAGTAACTAGTGTATACATTTATTAAGAGAACAGATGTTAGCAAAAAAAAAACACTCTATTGAATTGAAATAATAAATATTAAAGAGTTCAAGTTACGTACATTTATATTAAAAAAAACATGTATCAATTGTTTATTTTGTTTGCTTTTCTTTCACAAATACCCTATAATTTGAGCTTCAGAATATTGAACACAATTGGTATTTCCACGTTGCGATGTAACAAGAAGTCGATAACTTCTGAAGACAAGTGTATTTGAAAAATTTTGTTGAGAAACATACACCTGCCGACCTGGATCAGTTGTAGCACTGATACCTGTTGGACCACTATATATAAGTGTCCAACTTGAGCCAAGATAAAGTGCTGCCAAACTAGTTGCATTCGTTCCTTCAAGTGTTACTGTAATTGGATCGCGATCTGGAACATCGTTTGCTGTTGCAAAGAGAAGACCAAAAGCTATTGATGCAGTACTTGAAACGGGTGATACATAAAAACCAGTGTTTATACCTGGTTGATACACAGTAATACCACCGGTATTAACACCATAATTGAGATATTTTGTGCTTGTTGAATTATCAATTGCATACGGAGGATATTCAGAAGGGTTCGAATATGAGGCGTTAACCCCACCGATAGATCCGCCAGCTGTTGTATTGTACACACCTATGATTGGATCACCTGTTCGTGTAATTGCAACAATAGGGCGAGCAGTTGTTGTTGTTGATGTAGTTGTTGCTGAAAATTCAATGATTTTTATGAAGAGTTCTCGTCAAACAACTAATTCAAAAAGTTTAATCTGACAGCATTATTTTTTGATTTTATAGTGAATAATCTGATAATTTTTGGTAAAAAAATAGTGAGAAAAATAACTTCTTCAACTTTTTTTGTAACACCACAAAAAAAGACGTATTTGGACGGAAAGAATTGTTGTAAGACATTCACAATTAAAACAGAAAGCCTGACATTTGTTGTAGTGCCTCATAAATAATAAATGAAAACTATCTAGTATAACTACGGCACTTCTGATAATACAAGACACCTATAACCTAGTTTTGACTATATTACAATTCAGAGAGATAAAAAGAATTCCAGTACAATGTAATCTAACTGAGGAGAGACTTCGATCTCGAGAAGGAAAGAAGAAAATTTGATAATATGGATATTTGGTTATGATGAAGCTAAAAAAAACAGAACAATACTGTACTTGTAGTAGTTATCGTTGTAGGAGTAGCAGTTTCTGCTATTGCTCTCTGAGTGAGACCGATAGGAACAGCAATAGTCGCTGCCAAACCACACACTACTAAAACACCCAGAGTTACCTTGGCAAGTGGGCCTATGGACCTATAGAATGACCAATTAAATGCGTCATACAAAATGATCGCATACGAACTTTGCAGTTTTAACTTCTCTCACAGTATCAATGTCAACATTGACCGATCGTGATGCTGATGGTGGTGGTTCGACATTGAATGGAGCAAATTGTTCGGTCGTCATCGGTTTAACCACATGATCAGGGTTGGGCAGTCCATTCTTTAGAAAAAAAAAACAAATTTAATCGAAGAAAAGACTAATGAGTAACTGAGTCTAAAATTTCTATAATTGAAATTTTTTTGCTTATTTTGAGATGTAACTATATGAAATGCTTCTTTAAAATTATTCAAAAATACAATACATATAAAACAAGTTTTCAGTCTTTGCATGACTGTATCACCATGCATTAACCTGATAGAAAGATAAAGTGGGACGAGGAATGTAATAAGCCATCGTTTGTCCGCTGATTGGTATTTTATTGTTAGCTTAGTTTGTATGTTGGTGTCTGTATGTATAAAAGAAAAATGAAACTTCAACACGACACAAACTCATCGAAATTGTTTGTTTTGTTTAGAATATGCAATGGTCTGCATTTATAGAACAATTTATTTAGTGATCATGTGTTTCGTTCTTTGTTTTTGTCCTTCTTTAATTTTTAGTACATTTTCAACTTCATGATTTAAATGTGGGTAGCACTTACGAAGAAAATTGTCTTAACAATAGAATGAGAGAAGAAATGTAAATGGATGTTATTCAATTAAAAACAGCGAAAAATTCAGCATCAGCTAACAGCATATATGCAAGTGTTTTTAAACTTCAATTACAGTTGTTTAGGTGACGAAAAGATGCAAAACATAGTCTCGTATGCATTTTTTTTAATAGCATTTGAATTGCCATTTTACATCATCATATCATAAACAGTCAAACATTTACTTGAATTATTTTCAAAGATAATAAGCCACCATTTCGAGCACAATAAGATATAGTTTCATAAGAAAGTAAACGGTATGATACATATATATATTGATCATTTTACCTGATCTTTGGAAGACTTAAATTCCAGCTGATGCCACTACTCGTGAGCGTTTTCATAATTATAAGGTGTTATTTTTCAATTACTTTTTAAGATTCTCGAATAATATTCAAAATAATAGAGATTTTACTTTCATTTAATAGAAAATAAAACATTGCAATTCATTTTGTAAGTGATCACTGTTAGTTAAGGTCCCTGTCTCCGTCCTCTACTTTCCAAAAACTGAGCTCAGCTCAAGTACATTCAAATGGCATGAAATTTTCAGTATACGTTGGAGCTATAGTGGAGAGGCTTTGGTAAAATTTTCAGCTCTATATCATGCAGTATGGCAGAGATTTTCACCAAACAAAAATCAAAAATAGCTCAGTTGGCAATTCAAACCTATCGGTCCACATTCATTCTATATATTTAATTTTGTTTTTGTTAGAAAGTGCATGATGCCAAGATGCAGTGCATCAAAGAGCCTTTTTCTAAAACTGTTACTTTTTCAGTGGAGAAAAGGGATCACAAGTTCAATGACTCAAAAAACACGCCACTCAGACTCACCAATCTTACAATTGGATTTGGGTGTGGATGGGTGTGAGTGTGGATATCGGTGTAGATGTAATTTTTTATTACACCCACATCCAATCACACCTCATGCATCTCTCGGTAGAAGAAGAAAAAGATTATAAATAATTTATCATGTCAACTAAATGACTGAAAAGCAAAAATCCAGTCATTGCACATTCTGAAGTCAATCGACTTAATGAAAGCGGATAAAGGGATGTTCACCAAGTTTATAAATATATTTAGCCATCAGTAGAATTTGTCAAATTTGAGAGATTATAATGACATATAATTAGTGGAGGGCTTTGTTTCGAGTAATTTGTTTATTTTTTATTGTAGGCACTTGTAGGAAAAAAAGTGACTATTTTTTCTTTCTATTTAATTCATTATAAATTGATAGATTTTTCTGAGTTTTTTTAAAGTAAAACTTACTAATACAATTTTTATTTATATTACAAATGGTTAGGAACATTGAACTTGAATAAATTTTCATCTATATCCTATTTTATTCCCAATAACACATTTATCATCGTTCGTATAATAGCTGATTATGTGGATGAAAAAGCTTATTTATTTTCCTGACGAATGAGCGAGTGCGTGTTGGATGACGTGGGCTTTTTTTTTCGGTTGGTTCTTATTGTATACTGATAGAGCAGGTTGCAGGAAATAAAAAAAGCTGTTAGTGCAACCTCTGCAGGATTAAAATGTGAACTACAATATAGCTGCTCTTGGTTTTCACTAGAAGCTTGTTTTAATCTATCTATTTTGCGACACATTTATGAATCATCCTTTTTCTTATTAATCTATAACTGGAATCAACATATAATTACATACTACGATAAGATGTTCTTGGTCTGTGTTGTTTGATCGTGTATCAAGAACATCTTGCACAGCAGATGGCAGGGTCCTAAAGTGTCTGTCAAGGTCTGCAATGAGGAATTAATTAATTAGATATTTATTACATGGTCATTAGTTAATTAATTATTTAACTAATTAAAATGTCTGTTACAGTCTGTGGAAGAGTGAGAGGGGTGAGTTCAAATTTCTATACTATATACTACAGCACTTCTTTTATATCGTGTTTCACAATATACAATACTAATTATAAACATTTTGAGCAAAGTCTTCTATTATGGTCTTATTGAATCACAGTAAAAATAAACAAGACATGGACTTTTTCTATCATTTTAAGGTTAGATTGATAAAAGATTCAATATGTGCTTTTAAATGTTACATTAGGCTTCAAATATTGAATTATCATATCAAAATATCCTTGGTATAGTAATATCTTGATGCTATTTCTTGTAAGATTCTTCTCTTAGTCTAGAAAAATTTTCTTTTTAAAAGTAAATCTTCAATGACACCGTCTTCAACAATATGATAGAAATCTTTTGTTTTGTTTGCATCATCCACTATGCATGAGACATATGAACAAGTCCGTCTGCATGCTACCCACTGACTACGCTAGTATCGATCATTCAGCTCTTTTTATATAAGCTCAGTTTACTGAAAATCTTATTGCGTCCTATCCAATATATTTCTGACAGTTCCATTTATTTCATATCATATGTGCAATTCAGCTTACATGATCTCAAAATGGAATTGTCATGAATTTACCGGATATGACAAAACGAAGTGCTCGGCAGCTCACTGCATATTAAAAAAAATACTGGTCATTGCTTACTTGATTCAGTTCTCACAAATGTTTGACATGATGCGCTTTCAAATGCTTATACATAGAACAGAGTAACAATGACGAAAAAACGAAAAGTTACAATGCGAAACGCGATGAACGTGCTCGTACTGTGAATGAGGCGATCCAGTAACATATGTTTCGGTTTTTAAACTGTTACCTGTTGTTCATGTGTCCGTAATTTAGTTGTTTTTCATAATAATCCTGTAATAGACTTCAGTTTCTTGGCTGTCTATCACAGTCTCATGAAGAGAGAAAAGATATAATTTAAGTTCCTGCTTCTCTATTTTAACTCTTCTTTTACATCGTGTTGCACAATAGAGCGTTCGACGGGAGAGATAGAAACAATGCAATATTGTTGCTATTTTTGATGCAGAATCGGTTTAATGAAATGTATATGGGAGACCTAAGAGTACCTATTAGAAAAATTTATTCATCTTGCTCAATACGTTTTGTTCTTCTCCAGCGATGTAATTTTTAATGACCTTCTAGGAGATCAAAAATTTTGAATTAGCCGATGGGTTTATTGTGTGCAAGACATATTTTTATATTACATTTTTTTTGTTGAAAAGGAAAAAAGAGAAATTTACATTTTTTATATTGTTCAGAAGCAAAAGTTATTGAGCAATTGTATTGGGGGCTGTTTGTCCTGCACTTCGGTTAAAAGGAGCAATACCAATCAGATTCAACTTTGGTTTCGCAATAATATTCACAATTTTCTTGACCAATTCAGGTAATGTACTGAGACATACCATCGGCAGAAAAAGTGGAATTAAATAGATAACGAACAGAATTGTCTCCAGTTGATCGATCATAAATGAAGGCATCACAGTTATTTGGACAAGCTGTGTAATTACCGTCGGTAGCCAAAATGCCATGTAAAGTGACGAAATAATCCATAATTGAAGTACCATTTTGCGATGACGTCGCCAGTTAATTGCTTGATGGTGAGACATCTTTTGATAGGTCACTCGAATTATTAACGTTAGATTTGCGAGCATAATTATGCTAACAGGAACAGCAATATTTAAGATGATATCAAACTGACCGAGAAAGTTTGCTGTATAGTAACACGGATAACCACAAATCAGTAAATTAAAATCCCATACATTTGTACAAAACAAGCAAATGACCACTACCCCAAAATAAAATATAGGTGTCCAAATCAGACAAAAAGTAATCGGTACGAAATGAAATATCCATTTTTTCCATGGCTTGTGAAGCATTGCGCGTGGATGAAAAATTAATACATGTCGTTCGATAGAAATCCATGCCATTAAGAACAATCCGATGGTATTTATTGAGAATTCAAACCATGTCCACCATACACAATATGCATTCGAAGCGGGCCAAACTATTCCCATCTTATAATAACTCATTACCATCGGTAAATCAATAAGAAGTTGCAAGAGGTTAGTGGTAATTAAAACAAACCATCCATGATTTTTAAGTTTTGAATGAGCGTCATGCTTTAGAGAAAAGTAAGTGAGGATCAGAATTGATAAAAAAATTGCTGGAAATTCGAGAGCAAGCATCAGAATAAATTTAATCGTACGGTTCATGATTCACATACAGTATAGGGAATAAACAGAAGTGTTGCAAATGTCGATTATTTATAAAGATTAACGGAGAATAAATGAAAGAGGGCCAAAGAATATTCATCAAATTTATAAATGTATTTGCGCATCAGTAGGATTAGTCAAACACAAGAGATTATAATCACCGATGATTACTTCTGTAGCCAAGGGCGATGCATTAGCAAAGCAAAAGGAAGCAATTACCTTCTCTAAAAAAGTTCGAGGAAGCAATAAAGATTTATTGCTTTCTCAACTTGTGCACATTTCTTTGACAAAATAGAATGAAAGTACAGAGCTCAAAATAGATCCTGTACAACTTTTTGGTTAATAT